TTTTTTATTTCTTCGGCTGTAACGGAACCAGTATGCAGATTGGTGAAAAGTCTGTGTCTGTGTAGAATTGTTCATCAAAACATTGATGGAAATAATCAAAAGGTTCAACCCTGCAACATTTGTGATTGAGTTTTGTAATCAATTGTTTGTTGTTTTTTTACGTATGGCAAAAAATGATTTGGATCCCGATGTCCAGTGGACTGCACATCAAATAAATCAAATATCAAAATCAAATTTTTTTGTTTCAATGTTTTTTTAGCATTTTAGCATCACTTATAGCACAATAAAATAGGTGTCAAGTTGTTTTCACTCTAACTTGCCTCTCGGGACTCAGGAGGATAAATGTGACCCATAACTGACACACACATCATTTATATAATGGTATATATATATACCCAAAAATTCCCACTTTGCCTTACTCTAGCTTCGCCACTAGTGTGTGTGGACACAGTGATGAATCCATTTTTAAAAAATCATGTCAATGTCATGGAACAACAGGGTGGCAATTATTTGTCAGAAAATGGGTGCCAGCATTTAAAAAACACTTGCATCCACACACACGCACACAAATCCTTTTCACGTCCAAGATAAATAGTTTAAAAACCACGTAAAAGCACAAGAAATTTGTTTAATACTATAATTAATTTAGAAGATGCACTTTCGTCTTGGAAAATATTTAAGAAGGTTAGGCCAATTAGACATGGTCATATGTCATGAATGAGTTTTCTTGAATGAGGCCTAATGAAGACAGCCAGCCCCAGTGGCGTAGATAGGGATAGTGTTGCCTGGAATGGGTTGATAAATTTTTTTGCCCCCCCCCTCCTCCCGTCCACGAAAGACTCCTTAAGCGAAAATGGCGCCCCTTCATTTAAAGCTAAGAAAAAGTGCCGTCTTGGGCGGACCGCACCCTTCCTACGCCACGGTTGTCCCTCACCATGATCCAATGACCTAGTTATTTTCGCCGCACTACCAGGCTTGCATATTGCCTCGTAATTTCTTACTACGTTGACTCGACAACCCTTCTAACCATTCAACGATTTAACTGTCTGAAGGAATGGGGGGGGGGGGGGTATGCAACAAAAAGTACTGCTTTATTTTTTACGTCGGCAACAAATA